ATATTGAAATTCAGGAGTGGGGGGGCGGTGGAAAAATAAAATAAAATTGGCTCTTACATGATACACAAAAATCAATTCCAGATAGGTTAATAGGCAAAAATTTACCTTTTGAAAGAAAATATAGAATACCTTTATGACCTTGGGGTAGGAAAGGATTTCTTAAATAAGGGCCAAGAAGCCAAGTCACAAAGGAAAAATAGATAAACTTGATTATTAAAATTAAGAAATTCTTTTTCAAAAGACACCAGAAAGAAGGTGAGAAGAGAAGCCCCACCCTGGGAGATCTGCAGCACAAGTCACAGTGTTAGTATTCAGACATGTACAGACATCTGTGCATCAGTGAGGAAGGGGGGAGGGAGAAGAATAAGAAAAGGAAGAGAAAGAGGAGGAGGAGGAAGAGAGGAAGGAAGAGAAATGGATAGAAGACCTGAGTAGGCAAAACGAAGAGGAGAAAATGTGAATGGCCAGTGAGATAAAAAGGACTTCAGCCTCATTAGTAATCAGGGGAACAAATTTAAAGAACAGTAAGATTCCATTTTACACCCACCAGACTGACAAACTTTTTAGAAGTCTGACAAGACCCGAGGATGGTGAGGACACAGCACAGTGGCATTCTGTCCCTCTGGTGGGAATGGAACTGGGGCGACCCCTTGGAAAGCAATATGGCCAAACCCGCTAACCTTGAAACCATCTACAACCATGACCTAGCCCTTGAACTCCAGGCATCTACTCTAAAGAAACTCTTCCGTGTGTGCGCCAGGACACAGGTCCAGCGATGTCCTGAGCAGCATTTCTTGTAAAAAACCGGGAACAATCTGGATGTCAGTCAACATGTGAATGGACAGATAAACTGAAGCATATTCACACAATAAAATTCAACAGTGAAAATGAGCTACAGGTTCACGCATCAACACAGTTGAATCTCAAAAATATAATGTTAAACAACAAAAGGTTAGCTACAGAAAAAAGTCATAAAACGTGATTCCATTTATATAAAAGTAAAATGCAGGCAGAACAACACAATGGATCGTTTAGGGATATAGAAATATTTGCTGAGACAAGTCAGGCGCTGGTGAAGTTCCGTTTTTCTGCCTGAGAGGTAGTTAACTGGTATTCTTTTCAATGTTCTTTAAACCACCATGCCTGTGTGTTTAATAGATAGTCCTTTGGATGCTTAATGCATTTCGTTTCAAAATACTTAATCACTGAATTGACACGTAACAAAGAGATATGCCCAAGTAGAGGAATTACTTGGGATGTTTATTTTCTTCTGTTTGTTAATCTTCATGTTCTGAATTTTTTATCATGAACATGTGATATTTCCAAAATATTATTTTGAGTGATTTTTAAGCCCGTTAGAAGGAGGTAGTTATTTCCTAGGCTAGAGCTAGCTTTTCGTCCATAATTTCACTGATTTTAGTGAGAGTCACTTTCTCAGAGCCACCGGCTCAGTCTGGAATGTTACTCCAAGGGCAGATACCTATCCGCTTGGTCAAATATGTACACTGCTAACACAGCACAGGACGCCCGCAGTCTGAAATGCCGGAGGGATGACCTTGAGGGCCAGGTGTGGGTAGGGTGTGCTGGGGAGGAGGGGGCTGACCAGCCTGCAGGGAGCACGTGGGCCACGCCGGGGCCTCCAGCAGTAGCTTGGCTGGAATGTGCCCACGCATTGAAGGAAGTGTGGGTGTCAGCTATGCCCTTGCTCACAAAACCTTACAAAGTCAGGCCTCCAAATCCACAGCTACCTTCAGATGGACTCTAAAGGTGGCTGGGCGCGGTGGCTCACGCCTGTAATCCTAGCACTCTGGGAGGCCGATGCAGGAGGATCGATCGAGGTCAGGAGTTCGAGACCAGCCTGAACAAGAGCAAGACCCCGTCTCTACTTAAAATACAAAGAAATTAGTGGGACAACTAAAAATATATACAGAAAAAATTAGCTGGGCATGGTGGCGTGTGCCTGTAGTCCCAGCTACTCGGGAGGCTGAGGCAGGAGGATCGCTTGAGCCCAGGAGTCTGAGGTTGCTGTGAGCTAGGATGACGCCACGGCACTCTAGCCCGGGCAACAGAGCAAGACTCTGTCTCAAAAAAAATAAAAAATAAATAAAGGCAACAGGATGCTCTTCCCTCTCTCTGAGTGGAAGGGAGAGGGAGCAGTGAGCTGGACTCTGCTGGCAGCCAATGTGTTTTAATGCAAGGCAGTATAACACTGAGACTTCCCCAACCTTCCCCAACTCATGAAAGGCATACTGTAGATACTCAGCAATCGTCTCCGTAAAATTTAGAAATAGCAAACATTACTTGGTCTCCTCCTATGAGCCAGCCTACGTGTGGCATTCTTTTACAGATATTTTATGGCAAGAATTCTTCCAGGAGTTGGAAAGGTAGATATTTTTACCTCCATTTAGGGTTCAGAGAAGCTGAGTAACCTGACCAAGGACACACAGCGTGTTAGAAGCAGAGTTTGGATTTGAAAGCTAGTCTCCTGGATGTTCCTCCTTGTGGGCTGAGCTGCTCTGGGTGGCAAAGGGAGGTCCCCTGGCCCATCCCACACCACCCTTCCCAGGGCTTGGCTTAGTGGAAGCAAAGTCAAGAGGCCAAGCCTGGGCCCCCCAGCCTTGCTCTGTGGCCACCTCAGCCCTGGCCTGTGCTTGTGTCTCCTCAGGAAGCCAGCGCTGTCCTGCACCGTGTGCTCCAGCAACCTTCTGAGCTGCTGCAAGAGCCTCTGGGGGCACAGGTTCCTTCAGAGACACATGGGAGGCCCGGTGGAGGAGCCATCGGGGGAGCTGCTGTCCGAGGAGCCACTGAGGACACCACTCCAGGAAGAGATGAGGACCCTGCCCTCCGAGGCTGTCTAGACCCGGCGCCAGGACACTGAAGATAGTGCTCCCAGTCCCTAAGTTGTGACTCCTGGAGCCCCTAGGGACTCAACCCCCAAAGCCACTGAGGACGCACCCTAGCCTGAGTCTGCAGGCTCCCAGAGCACACAGCTGGACGCTGGGGTCCTGGGGCCTAGGGTGGAACAGCCTGTTCTGTGCTTGGCATTTCCAGGCAGCCGCTCAGGGCTCCTCTGGGCCCAGTGGGCCGAGTCCCCTGGGCTCAAAGCTCACGTTGGTGCTGGCCCTAGGAGCCATGAGCAGAGATGGCGGGAAGAATGGGGATGTGTGCACGTGTGTGTGCGTGGATGTGTGTGAGGGGGGACGTGTGTCCCCTGAGCAAGGCAGAGAGTATTGCTATAAAGCACTGGCGTCTCACTCCCTCACAGGTGCTGCAAGAGGAAGGAAAGAAAGGAAAAGACAGGGAAGGGAAGGGAAGGGAAGGGAAGGGAAGGGAAGGGAAGGGAATCAGCCTTTCCCAAGCACCTGCTGGCACCAGGCACGTCGCCGCATGAGCTCTCCGAATCCTTGTAACAACGTGAGCTGATAGTAAGGATCACCACCCACCTTTACGGAGGCGGGAACTGAGGCTCAGAGAAGTGCAGGACCTGCCCAAGGCCACTCCAGCAGAAAGTGTGCCTGGCACATAGAAGGCACCCAAAAAATACATGTTGAATGAATGAATGAGTGGGAGGACAGGTGAAAAGCCAGGCTTCGGCCCCCTCTCCTGACACTACGGCACACTGCCTCCCAGGAGAGAGGGCAAACATTCCCTGACTCCGCCTGCCCTGCTCCTAGCAAGGCTCAGACCCAAGGAAAGTGCCAGCCCCGGAGAGGTGAGCGTGTGGACGGGCTTCTGCCCCCAGGGCTCCTCAGTGGCATCTCCCCCGGCTGACCGGCTGACCTCCGCCCTCCCTGACACCCACCTCTCCTTGGTCTCCAGGAGCCCTCCTGGTCTTCCCCCTCTCTGTCCACTCGAGCTTTTCCGTCCCTTCTGCAAATCATGGTCCTCTACCCGGCTGTTAGATGCGGCCGTTCCCCGAGGCTCAGTCCTGGGTCTTCCCTTCTTGCTGCCGTGTCTGCACCCCCGTGGCCTCAGTTGCCAGGAGCGAGGAGATGTTTACTCCCAGGTTTACAGCTGCAGGCCGGGCTCCTTCGGGAGGCCTTGGACCCACCGCCGCCCAGCAAGCCTCTGCCCGGCTGTTTCAGCGGCAGCTCACCTGGAACACGCCCGCAGCTGCACTCGCCCTGCCGGCCCGCCGTGCTCCCCGGGCTCCCCTCTCAGACAGCAGCCACTCGGCACCCCCCTCTGCCTCGCTCCTCGTGGCCAGTGGCCAGTCCTCTCGAGTCCTGCCCCCACACGTGCCTGCCCTCCACTTGGTTCTCGCCACCTGCCCTGGCATCATTTGATGTGACCGCCATCGTCTCCCTCGGGATGGTTGGAACAGCTTCTGACACCCCTCCCAGCATCTGCCTCTCCCTTTCATCCAAGCGGCCCACTCTACACCCGACAGCCACGCAGACAAGGCCATCTTCGGCGTGGCCCGAGGCCTGTGTGCTCGGCCGGCAGGTCCCTGCCCCTCCCCCTGCACCCCCACCACTTCCCCAGCCCCGCCACTTCCCGAGCCCCGCCGGCCTTCCCTTTTGTGTGTCTTTAACTCTCTGTGTTCCTTCCGGCCGCGCACGGTGCAGTTTCCATGACTTGAAACGCTCTTCTTGCCCTTTGGGCCAGTTAACTCCATGAGATCCCAGCCAAAATGTCACTTCCTTTGAGGACATCTTCCTTGACCCTCCGCACTAGGGTCAGGCCCCTGCCACCCCCCTCAGAACTTTCCTTGGAGGTCACTGGCGTGGTTGTTGTATTGCAGCTGTTTGTGAAATTCCTTGAAGAGTGTCTGTCTCTCCTACTCACGAGGCCCTTGGCCCTGCCTGTTTCTGTGGCCATTGTCTGGCCCCTAGAAGGGTGCGTGTCACGTAGCAGAAGCTTGATAAACGTTTGTGGGGTGAATGAGCGGAGAAAATAAAGAGTGCGGGGAGCGGACGACGCAGATACTTTAAGCAGCTTATCTGCTAATAAACCCAAAGGCATGGTCTGCCCTGGTGACTCCCAGCGATGCTTAGTCTCTTGGCTGAATTCCTTCTGGAATCCCCAGAACCCCCTCCTTGGAGGTTTTCCCAGGAGTCTGAGGCAGGTGGGTCTCTCAGTCATGGCCTCGTAGTTGGAGGCATAAGACCTCGAGCGGAACAAAGCAGTCTGGCCCCTCGCGGACTCGAGGGTCGGGGCTGCGACCAGGACCAGGTGCCACGCGCCTCCCCTCGCTGCGGAGGTCTCCTGCCGGCCTGTCTCTGGGCTGCCCCTGCCCCTGGAGGCCTCCTGGAGACGCTGCTGGCTGCAGAAGTGCGGCGCGTGCTGCCTGGAGGAGGAACATCTGCTGTGGGACCCCGGATCCATGTTTGTGTTACCGTCGTGTTCCAATAAAACTACCGAAACAGATGCTGCCTCGCAGCTTTATTTTTTAACTTCCTGGTGAGGAAACGCTTCCCAAACTTCATCATGCAGTGTCTTGATTTAGAAAAAGAGTCATGATAAATCCTGGAGTAAAGGCCAGATTGAAAATTGCCTTAAAAAGAAGGCAGTTTAGACGTTTTCCAGGAGCTAGGTGTCATGCCAGAAGGTCACATCGGAAACGCGGGAAGGCCCAATCCGAAGGGCCTGGTGCGCCGGGGAGCGGGGAGCTCGGTGAGTGCTTGCAGGGCGCAGTATTTCTGAAGCTGTGGGAGGCAGAGACACGTGGGAGAAAAAGACATCTTTAAAATGGAAACCTTGCCAATCAAGGAGGCCCACAGTAGAGAGTAGGCGGGTGAGTGCAAGTAAGAAAGCAGGTCAAGAGAAAATTCATGGATTTTGTGCAAGGAGTGAATCCCCAAGACACCAACGGAAGGTTTTAAGAGGAGGGAGGAAGGGCCGGCCAGCATCAGGGGCACCCACTGATAACCGCAGGGCAGCACGAGAGCGGGGAGGCTGGGGGCTTTGCAATTCTGAACTTCGGACCCTCCCGAGAAGCTACCAGGACACACCTGGATGAATTTTTCCAAGCGGAGAAGAGGTCACATGTAAATCAAAGCTTGCAGGAACCACTCTGCTCAAAACAAGTTCCAATATATTTCAGGGAAGGGAAACTCGGAACAGTGCTGGGAGCGGGTTGGGTCCACAGAGGACGCTAAGGTCCTTAACCGAACTCCTACCCCCCCGAACTACAGCCACCGTGACGAATGCTGGGCACGTAATGGGCACCCAGCCAGGGTGGGGGCCTGGAAACCACCATGTCAGAGTCCCATTCCCGCAGCTTCCAATTCTGCCAGTGGGAATCCGGAAGGGGAGCAAAAGCCGCTGTGGCTATCCAGGCAGAGGGCCCACGGGATACCGCAGGAGGTGCTGGCCCTCGCGGGGCCACCCGGGGGTTATGTCTCTTCCCACGAGCCATGGGAAGCCTTTGAAAGGTTTTCTGCAGAGGGTCTTAAAATGGTGAGGTCTGTGTTATGAAAAGGGCATTCAGACCCCAGTTGAGAAAGTAAGTTGGGGGCGGAACAGGGAGCAGAGGCAGAGAGAGCCGGAGGCACCTACAGCGGGGCCGTGGCAGTCACATTCCCCCAGCATCTGCTCCCTGCAGACCTCAAGGGCCTACACCTGGAACTCCAAGGAATCGGGCGCCTTCGCCCTCCAGAGAGATGGCCGGTACCTAAACACTACAAGGAATTGGGGAAGGAATGGGCCCCCCCCCGGGGGGCGGGTCACCCAGGCCAGGAGGGAGATGCCGTGTGCGGGCGTGGGAGGACGTGGACCCAGCAGCTGTGACGTTCTAAAGGAAAGTGCTCCTGGGCACACAGGGCCAGGCTGTGTTCACACCCAGTTTAGAAGCTTGGCGGGTGCCAGGGAGTTGCTCGGGCGGGAGCCAGACTGAGGGACTCTGTTTAGCGTCTCATCTCAGCTGAGTGGGGTGAGGCGGAGAATCCAATCCTGCTCACAGCCACCGAGCCCTTGCGAAGTAGCCGCAAGTCCAGCTCGCCCAACCCATGAGGCCTCCAGGACTGGCTCTCAAGGAGAGTTCGTCATCCTCGTCGTACAGAGCAGGGAACGGGAGCTCAACGGGTTCAGGCGTCGCCCCCCGTCACACAAGCAGGAAAGGATGGCCAGGGACACACGTCTACCAGAATTTCAAGCATTCCAGGGAGGACTCAGGAGCCCTCAAGGGTCGCTAACAGCCGGCAGGGGGAACAGGAGAAGATACCCTGCACCCCGTCGACAGCACCGAGGGGCTCATAGCTCATTATTTGGGAGGTCACTGCAGAAGTTGTCACCATGTGTGTGCCTCCCTGCTCTGCTCCAGGTCATAAAGCACAACATGCTTCTCACGCCCTGAGGTGGCATGGTGTGAGCGGCGCGCCGGCCTGGCTGGACCACGGCTCTCATTCCCTGGGCATTGCCCAAGTTCTCATGTGCCCAGCGGGCCTGGCAGGGTTCCCAAGGAAATAGGGCCCCAAAGGGACAGGCAGCCTGGGCTGTGCGGCTCCCAGATAAACCTCCCCGTCACTTTCAGCTGCGTTGCCAAGCCCCTTCCTGCGCCCACACATGATGTCAGCCCCTGCAGGCACCAGCCCATTTCTCCTGACATCCAGCCCTTCCTCGTAGAGGCCAGCGTCTCTACAAGCTGGGGCGCCAAATGAACACCCCAGGTAAGTGTCATAGCTAAGATTCCAACCATATCTGCCTGTCCAAGTCTTTTCTTTATTATTCACATTTTGAAATTAATTTTTAAGGACATAAGTGATCGTACAGATACAGTCTCTTTTTAAATTCCAACATTACAGAGAAAGCTAGAGTTCATTTGACCACCCCCAATCCTGTTTCCCCAGCAATTTCCTCCCAGACAACCACTGTTACCCCAGTTTGTTGTGCAGTGTTTGGTTAGTTTTATTTGTTTTGCTTTTTAACATAAAAGTTACTCTGCACCCAAGGAACTGAACTCAACAGTATGTCTTCAAGTTTCAACCACAGTAGCACATAAAGATCTTCCTCAACGGAGGGTTTTAGTCACCGGAGGGTGTTCCATGGTGTTGGTAGGTACCCCACAGTGAGGCTGCCT